TTCTTCTAGGGTGTCAAGCCAGTGCGAGCTGATAGCGGAGTACCATACCTATCAATATAACCCCCATGTATGTTCTACGATTTTTCGTAGTTTTCGAGTTAGATTTTTTTCGTTATTTTTTAAGTTCAACGATGAAACAACTTTAAAAAAGTATAACTTCCGATTTTTTTTAACAGGATGCTTATTGCGTGAAGTTTTATAAGTAAAATAATCTCCTTCCTAACTTTAACCTAAGATATAAAAAAATGATCGATACTTAATAAAAATGAATAAAGTAAAACAGAAAGGATTTACAATTGAAATAAAAAAATTAAAATAGAGTCCATAACTTCTGACTAATTTTAAAAACTGCCCGACTACATAAGCTTTCATTAAAATACAAAAAAAGATGTACTAAATGGGTCATTATTTGCTGAAAGCTGTTGTTGAAGGTGTTGTATCGGAAATCGAGTATTTTTAATATTTTTTAATTTCGTAGTATTTTTGCATATTTTGTCAATCTTAAGTTTTATTATCCTTTTTAGTTTAAGTAGAGCTCATTCGAAAATAAAAATAATCACTTTATGATAACTAATCACTCATGTTATCCTCCTCCTCAGATATTTTTATTTTGCGCTTCAATAAGAAAGTGTCTACGCGTATGTTGAGGACTCTCGATTGAGCTTGATATTAAGGTTGTTTGTGATTGCTACTATGCCTCGAGATTCCGAATTTTCATCGCAAGATTATGGGAAAATGCATTATTTCTTCGGGTACGCGCGTTGAAACGCTTCACTTGTCGCAAGGATGTTTCGCGATTATTTACAAAGGAGGACGACAACCCGAGATTTATTTAGATCATCGAGCAATTTTGCGAGTACATTGAGCGTAGGAAGAAGACCGTCTTTATCTCGTCTCTCGTAGCTCGTCTAATGGTTACAAGAGTATCGCTGTACCTTGAAACCATTAACACTTAAAAAAAGACTTTTTTTTTTAAAGTAGTCGCCGTCCTCCTCTGCGTTGTAAATAATCAAAATTGATAGGTATGGTACTCCGCTATCAGCTCGCACTGGCTTGACACCCTGGAAGAAACACCTGTATATGTATTCGATCCGTTACCCTAGTATCCCATAACACAAGCATTATAGTGCTTACTTTGGGGCTAGGCTAATTGGTATGAGTATTGGAAATATTTATTTATTTATTTTATTTATTCGGATTTCTGACAAATGCCAAATATCTAGTATTGGCTGCTTCTATCGATAAACATAGCGACATTTTGCCGTGTAATGTCGTAATGCATATCAAACAAATGTCTTAAATGGCAGCTACCAAAATCGAAAGGGAGATTTTATTTACAGAATCGCCCTACCGATCGGATTTGGATAAAATTTGGTACACATAGCTTAAGTGTATATATGACCTGGATTAAGAGACATATGAAACTTGTAGATTATTAATTTATACTAAATAAAATAACGAAGGAATGGGTTCGTTCCCGACGTCACTCCATCATGTCTGGGTGTCGCTTCATTTTTCATACATAATTGCAAAGGTTTGTAATAAGAATAGCTGCTAATTAAAATGAAGCTTTACGATCATAACGATGGTCGGGCGCGCCAAATAAACACGGGCAGTTAATTAACTGCTGATAGCCTCGCGTTATCTTGTGAACTTGGATGAATCACTCAAGTTTGTTGTGATAACCACACCCCTTGAAGTCTTATAGGTTTTAGTACAGCAAGGAATTATTATAGCGGGCGTGGTCGCGTTCACACTGATTTTCCCAATTGTGAACTTTGTAACAAAGTGGACGATGTCCAACACATTATAATGGAATGTGTGAAGAACAGAATAGAGCGAGAGAGAGAGAGAGAGAGAGCTACTCATACAAAATTAACGACCTAACTTTGGGAACATAGGTTGCTTTAGTAGAATCATCACAATTATAATTGTAATTGTAATGATCCTACTACAATTATAATTGTAATGATTCTTCTATCCTATGTTCCCAAAGGTAGGGAACATAGGTTGCTTTGAGTTAATAATGAATAATAAAATAATAATAATAAAAAAAAAACTTTATTGGATAAATACCAGAATACAAATAATAAGGGACCCTTGCTCCTAAAAATATAGGATTTACCTGTGTATTAGGGGCCAGTATTAATATTTCCGATATTATCTCAACGAAACTCAGACGCAGCTTAGTCTATGTTTGAGGTTTTCGCTAGTAAGAATAGCTCCCCCTTTCTAATGTCGATAAATTAGTTTTGTATACGTTTAATTAGGGCACGACGTGCCTGGCATATTCGTAGAATGAAAGCCTCTAAAGAAATAAAAAAAAAATATGCTGCTGTTTTTTGCCGCAGTGAGCGCGCTGCCATGTTGTTTCATACTTCACAACCATGCGGCAGATTCGCCGCGTTTTGCTACTGCAGTTCTTGTGCGGCCTTATTTAGTAAAACAATTAAAAAAACCTGCAGAAGTTCAAGTACTTGGTATTAAAAATGCAAGAAAAAACATCGCGTGATTAATGGACGGTCCCAAAGTACATATTTACTTTGAACCCTAATGTCATAATTCGCGGAATCATACAAAACCTGATCTAGCTAGACTGAACAAATAGTCGTGCAGCCAGTATTAGAAACATCTGAATTATTGATTTATTTATAGAATCGTTAAAGATCACCGTTACAGATATTTCCTGGTGGGTGTATTTATCAGATACACGTGTGTTTTCTTGTATAGTTCGCGAATGCTTTTCTGCAGAAGAATTCTTTTATTATACCTGTAGGCTAAGACTATTATTTGAATCTCTTTGCATGTAGGTATAAACACAGTCGAATTGATTTGCCAGTATTAGGAGTAGTGGAGTAGGAGATTGTATTTTTATTGAATCCGCTCGAAATTATATAACTCACAAGTCTTCTAAATATAAATTCAAGGGGAACAATCCTTAATAAAGTCTATTTAATGTCCACACGCAAGTATTAAATTACAAGATAGATTTTAATAGGGGTGATGACGGGGTACATTAAACAAATTCTATTTAGTCCGTCAGTTAGATGATCAAAAAATAATGGACACGTATTTTTTCTTTGGGCAATCAACCAAAACATGACAGTTATAGCGCGTCAAAGTTTGGGAGTAGGGGCTCGTGACGTCACTTTTAAGTGAAAATTGTACCAAAACGTGACGTCATGCGACTTTTCAAATCAATATATCTCTGCAATGTTTAGATTATGTTAAAAAAGAAAAAATACGTGTCCAATACTTTTTGATAATCTACCTGATAAACGTAGAAAAAAAAAATTAGTCATCATCCCTAATGTATCTATAATCATACTTTCTGATGAGTAGAGTACATAAAATCGTGGGGTTTTAGTAGCATATAGCTAGTGTCCTGAATTAACACATAAATAGCATTTAATATGTATGGTTGACTGTTTATGTAGGAATTTCACACGCCCCATAATTTTATTTGTCTGATCAAAGCCCTAGCTAGATTGTTGAGGATGATTAGTATATAGCATCCAGCATTATTTTTTAGCTTTAAGTGCTTTTTTTCATCTGTATTTTTCATAAAACCCAAACATATTTATTTTTCAAGCAGAGCTATGGGGTAGCGCGCTCAGTCTGCGACCCCGATCGTAGAAATTAACCAATTGTAGCATAGGATGGGTGACCATAATTTTATTGTATCTATCTTCTCCGGCTGCATCTGCAGTCGTTAATACTTACCACAGAACTTCTCTCTTCTGAGGTTAGCAAGCACCGCGGTCATGACTCGTCTCCCCTATTCCATCCATCGATAGGGAAGGTCTGTGCCACAGCAGTTCTTCTTCTTTCTGCCCTTATCCCATCTTTATTTGGGGTCGGGCTTTCTCGTGCATTTGCGCCAGGATATTCGGTCCCGGGTTGTGATCGGTGATAGTTTTTGGGGTTTTAAATCTCTTTCCACGGTGGCCCACCAAGAGGCTAGTGGTCTGCCCCTAGTTCTTTGTTTTGTGTTGATGTTGGGTACAGTTTTCACGGGGTAGTTTTCTTCTCGCCTCATCTTATGACCGTACCATCTGAGCCTGCCCCTTTTCAGTTTCTCAGTTACAGGAGCCACCTTAAAGGAACCTCTCACGAATTCATTTCGCGCTTCATCCAAGAAAGAAAGAAGAAAGAAAGAAAAACATTTTATTGGCCTTCACAGCATTAATTTAGAAAAAGAAAATGGTTATATAATAATAAGAAATAGGCATAACCAGAAAACATGGGAACTAATTACTAGGCCAGTAGGACGCTGCCTCAGCTATGCTTTGTGGTAAACTCTTTTGCGATACCACAGTAGCGCTGATTTTCAGCCAGCGCCTTATGGCCAAGCGCGTCACTCCCCCCGCCCAGCGGAGCATTTTCATCTCTGCTGTGTAGTTGTTGTTCGTGTTTTCTTAATGAAGCCCACAGGGCTTGTTTACCGGTAAATTTTCAAACCTCAATCAGTGTCAAGTACATTAGGAGTGTTTTATTCAGGTTTGGCTCTACTTTAACCTTAAAAAACCGGTTTTACTAAAGAGGGATATCAAATAGGTTTTGAAACAATTTAGCGGTTTTTAAAGGGTTTCATTTCGCTATTTCTGACGGCATCGATAAAAAATTAATAACTTGACTCAGGAGAGGCTAGCAAACGTGTCAATAAATACATCAATCTCTGAGAATTAACAAGTTGTGACTTGATTAGTTCAAACAAAACGAATTTCAAGCGATGCCGACACGTGCACGTGTCGCTCTGGATTAAACCGGTTTATTAAGGTTTTAGGTACCGCTTCATTTCGGACGCGCTCCGAACGAAACCTTTACTAAAAACCGGTATTAACCTTTATTTACCGGTATTTTCGAAACCGGTTTCAAGCACTGGAAGCCCAACACTCAGAGCCATAGAGCATTGTCAGTCTGACGACCGTGCCTCAGCAGTGGGGACGTTAAAGGCTAAAGATGAGGATATTGATAATGGTTTCTTATTGTTGTTCCCAGGTGTTGTTGCATGGTGGGGGTACGGAGCAGGCGCCAACATGGGGGACAGCTTTCTGCATCTGGGAGACATAGTTTCCCTGTACGCAGAGGGCTCTGTATCAGGATTCCTGAGTACCTTAGGGTAAGTATACGTTATTATTATAAAAACAAGTTGTAATAGTGCGATTCAAACTTAATGTATAGTTGTTATGTTAGTGCAAGCGGTGACGCAGTAAATAAAATTAAGATGCGGGTTCGAGTCCCGTCTGCTGCCCGCGTGGTTTTTTGTCTAGTGAAATTTTCTTGAGGTTTAAACATCCAACAGTTGATGCTTAATTTTTTTAAATATAACTTCAATTGCTATGTCTGGTTTTAAATGTTTAATACTTTTAAATCTTGGTATTGTGGGTTACCTGCAATGCGAAGAGATGGCGTTGCCTTGTAGCCCAAGAAATAGTAGAGAAAATTCTAAACAGCCGTTAGGGCCGCGATAGCATAATGGTCAGTGCATCCGCCCAGATAGCGAAGGGTGCTGGTTCGATTCCCGTCTGCTGCCTCAAAAGTTGTGGTTTTTTTTCTAGTAAACATTTCTTTAGATTTAAAACATCTAGCAGTTGAATTCTTAAAAAAATAAAATATAACTAAAATGTAGATTTCACAAACTGAAACCTGCACAATACTGCGCTTATTAGGACCCACAAGACGCAGAAAGACAGGTCCTCAGACTCACCTTTTTTGTGTGTTCTTGAGTGGGTTCGGCCCAGTGCAAATTGCACAACCTCCAAAAAGTTTGAATCGCACTCTATGGGGCTCGATGCCTTTTAAAGTAGGCGGAACACAATTTTTTCTATATTTTCTCAGTTTTTTGTTTAAAGGCATTATTATAAAGGGGCTTTGTTATAATAATATTTTTACATAATATTCACGGTAGGTACATATTTAGCTATATGTAATTAATTACTCTTAAACTGCTGCCGTGGTTGCGAGATAAGATATCGGATAAACAATTATTAGTCGTCGAGATAATTGTAAGCTTCAAATATAATTTATGGAATAGCCAGCAAGTCTAAATATTTAACGGACATTTTTATGTTAAAATCATACTATTATAAAAAAAGCAAATCATTACCATGTGTTTCTTGCTTGATTACAGAGTAAGTAGAATATTGTTTTAGTAAATCACTAAAAATGCAGGGGGAGTTTTTAGTTTTATACTTTTTGAGAAAATGGAAATAGAGCTGCTAGTTGGTGACACGGTTTATTTGCTATCGAATGTAATAAGTTTACCGTGCCTTGAGATCACAAATTTCGTCACAGCCCGCAGTGGCGCCGTGGCTTAGTTGGTTAAAGCGCCTGTCTAGTAAACAGGAGATCGGGGGTTCGAATCCCCCCGGGGCCTTCGAGTTGTTAATTTTTTTGTTTATACTTTTTTTTATTTTTTCGTCTCACAGCTTAAGCTAGCAAACGCATTCAGGCCAAATCGCTACATTTTTCAACCATGAGCATAATTTATCAAACACTTAATTTTTTTGCAAATTTGTTCAAAGAAGGTTGGGCGAAATGTTCCCACCAATCAGGGTTGGATTTAGGTTTGTTGAAAAAGATAGCACAAAAAAATGAAAAGGATGGTATTTAAATTTATAAAACAATATAGTACATTTTCATTATTTGTAATTTAACATATAATAGTCAATAAAATCAACACCCGTTAAGGCAATATTTACTCCTCTTCTAAGTCTATGAGTTCTTGATTATTACTTTTAGTTCTATCTTCATCCTTGGCATTTAATCTCGTCAATATATCCTCAGTAGGAATAAAATCAGTACAATTCCCACTTTTGCTTCCGCTTTTGATGCGACTTTCCATAATTAAAACACTGAAAACGTATTGTTTTACACAAAAACTCGCAAGTGATTGATAAAACACTGAGCAAACTTTGATTGAGTTCCGAATGGAATGGAAGGAACGAGATTAGTGGAGAGAGAGAGAAGTGTACTGCAAAGGATAATCAGGAATCCCCGGCCATCAACACAGAAAACATCGCATGATCAGAATTCCGTTGGATACAAGCACGGTCGAAATATTCATAATATGACGTAAAACTAAGCATTCGGGAGCAAACTTTAAATTATATTATTTAAGCGTACTATCCTGAGCTGTGGATAGTATATAGTACAAATGGCAAAATCATAGTATAAATACTATAATTATAGTACAAAATCCAACCCTGCCTCCAATACTGACCAGACGTAGTTATGTCGTAGTTATGTCATCGGAAAGCTGTTTCACGACTATTATGTGTTACTACTATCTCAATTGGCTGTGGGAAAATAGTTATAGCTAAATTAAATCTATAAAAATGACTTTTACGTCTGTTTTTTTTTGCTCGAACTATTTTTCCAGAGCGTATTAAGAGTTGCCCTCATAGTAACAAATGTTAATCATGAGAAGTGCTATTTGACAACATACATACAGCTAGGGTGACCAACTTTCTTTCTCTCTAAATATAGTATTTTCGAAGTTTGTTAGTTAGTAAAAATAGGTAGAGATTTTCGAAAAAATATAGTTTCTGGTTTAAAATATTTACTTTATATTTGAAATGAATATATTTTTGCCTCTCTGAGCCTTAATAATGAAATTTTTATGAGCATGCTTTTACTAGCAAAAGCCTGTCTTAAGCAAAATATAATAGATACGCCTACTATTTTTTTTTAAATATAGTATTTCTTCCCTTAATATAGTAGGGTTGGCAACTCTACATACTGTATGCCAGTTTTCTTGTGTAAGTAGTTTCCATATTGCCCAATTTTGATTGAAATCTTTGTATCGGCATTCTGCTCTGTTGGCTTTCGAATCGTAAGCAGCAATAAGGACTACAACTCGCGTATTTTTATTGACTGGTCCGAATGTGTGTTTAGGACTGTACAGTGCACACTATATGGCACTCTTCGTTTGATTAATTTGCTCGAGTCTTGATGGAAAAAAAAAACTGTTTATTGCAGACCATATAAATAGTGGTCAATGTAAAAACTATTTTTCTTCATTTTTTATACATTTCCAAAAAGGGGATCGAATTAAAAAAATAGTACGATTAGGAGAGTCGAAAAATTAGATAGAGTCGAAAGATTTTATTTTTTGCGGTGAGTGGATTAAAGTTGGAACAACACACTACTTATATATTAACTAAGGTCGCGTTATTTGTTACATAGTTAAATTTGACTATAGTATAGAAAATATTGCCATTTGTCAAATTTTTACACATCTACTATGTATTTGACTAATAAGACTATTGTTCAATTTTGAAGTTTTTTATTTTACAGATTTTAAATTTGACAATTTATTATGTACCCCTAGTTTACACCTAAAAACAAGTCATATACTATTTTACACAAAACTTGTAGAACACTTGTTCTGACATTCTTTCGTTTACTCTGCATAGACGACGAGTATCTTAAAATTAAAAATAAAATCACTATTTAATTCACATATTTTGTGTATCCAATAAGTTTGATGCAAGTATTGTATACTACATGTTTTATACATGTGTGAACAAAAAATTAAAACATTGTATAAAATTTAAACGAGAGGAAAATATATTTAGGCCGCCTTTTATCTAATAAGTCACGAAGTAGTATGTCACAACCACTGCAGCAGTATAAGAGTAATTTAACCCATAGCCCCATTATACAAAGAAATGTGAGAAAATATAGAAAATTATTATCATAATTACCTGGCCGTTTTTTCAATTGTCTCAATCAATGTTATTTATTGAAATCTTATTGTATTGTTTTCTTTTCCCCCCAACAGGTTGGTAGATGACAGATGTGTTGTCTGCCCAGAGGCAGGCGACCTGACTGATCCGCCCAAAAAGTTCCGGGGTATGTTTATATCTATCTAGTCTAGTAATTATAAGGAATTATTTGTGCATCTTAAAATGCTTTGCCTACTCACGTATTCCCTTCGTCCTATAATCCGAGATCGTATAAAAGATGCGTGAAGCAGCACCTTGTAGGCCGGCAAGGTTGGGATGGCTGGTGTTGCAGGTAAAACTACTGAACCAGCTATCTTCGCGTCTGGACTCCACCGTCAATTAACATCAGGTAGAGTCATTTGTCGAACCTTTTTATTAATAAGGGCTTAAACATAAATTTTGATTTGCTTTTTTAATATGCTACTATAGATAGGCTTGCCAGATGGCCGGGAAATCCGGAATTTTGCGCCTTGTCCCGTGTTCAGTAATTAGACCTTATTGCCCCGGATTCCGTTAATGTGCTAGTTTCGTAACAAAATTAACTAATAACGAATGACACCGCTGGCTTGCTTGATGTTTTAATTCGGGGGGTGATGGGGGGGTTTTATTTGATGCTTTATTTTTTCAGGGAGAGGGGTTGCAATTATCCTGGAATTATAAGCCAGCATCTGGTAACCCTATCTTTAGATTATGTGGGCTGAGAGTTTAAGACGCGAGTAATATCTTATTTAAGCGTCATCATGTCACAAAATATCTTATGTTGGCAGCGGAGGAATTGTTCGTACACATTTGGTCACTATTGTCCTCGTATTGTGGCCGTGTTCCGTTCGAAACCTTAACAAATTAACCGGCTCATTGGTTGAACGAATTGAGTGATGAATTTTTATTGGGGACCACTCGTAGCCATCGTCTATATTATTATTGTTATTACATACAAACGCAGTAACATAAAATATCGTTTATTGACGTAATTCTAATAATAGGTCCTTTAAGAAAGGCGTGAAGAAGCATTTTTACAGGCCGGCAAGGTGAGGATGGTTGGTGTGGCAGTTTGTTACTGCTGCACCAGCTGTCTTCGCGTTTGGACTTTATCACCACTTAACATCAGGTGGGATAGAGTCATTTGCCTACCTGGCTATATAAAAACAAAAAATCTTCACATGCTGAATATCAAAATGTCAAAACGAAAGAACGTGACAATAGATGGACAAACTTTTACTCATACAAAATTTAAAAGCAGTCGCCTCTGCTCGTTCTCTTTAGAGCACGATAAACACATCATCGTCTAATGATGATTATCCTACCAATGTCCCCACTGCTGGGGCAGAGGCCTTCACTATGGACGGAATAGAGATGGGCCTGGATTTGGGCCATGAACCATCACGCGGACCCACTGGATTCGTGGGTGCTAACGATTGCAGGTGCAGCCGGGACCAACGGTGTAACGTGCCCTCCGAAGCACGGAGGAGCTCGTGATAATAAGTTCTGTGGTCACCCATCCAATGACTGGCCATTGCGAAAGTGGTTTAACTTCCACGATCGCAAACCGAACGCGCTTACCACCTGCGCCATCAAGCTTCTCGAAAAAGACATACTACCGTAAAATTTAATTTGAATTTTATAATTATATAAGGCTGTAATCTCTTCTTTGTCGGTATCACTCTTGACAGAGTGGTCGTGGTCATCAATTCAGGTGTTGAAGGCAAGCTTCACAACACGCCGCCACTCATCTCTGATGGCCGCCTTCCTTGTGCATTCGTGTAATGATGAGCCATTTACTGCAGCTTTTATTTGGTCAGTCCACCTCATAGGAGATCTTCCTCTTGACCTGGTACCCTCAACCTTTCCCTGGACCACAAGTCGCTCAATAGCCACCTCCCCTCGGCGGCATACGTGACCAAAAAAAGTGAGGATACGAGACTGCACCACAGACGATAAACGCTGCTTGATGCCGAGTTCTCGAAGTATAGACTCGTTGGTACGGAATTCAGTCCACGATACTCCGAGCATTCTCCTCCAGCACCACATCTCTAGGGCGTCTATCTTCTTCTTCTCTACTTCGCGCAGGGTCCACGTTTCTGAGGCGTACAAGAATATGGGGAATACAAGTGTCCGAACCAGCTGGATTTTCGTGGCTCTGTATATGCTGCGATGCCTCCATATTTTCCTTAACTTGTCCATCGCAGACCTAGATATTGCCATACGCCTCTTCACTTCGTCGACACATCCCCCATTGTTCGTGATTAAAGCTCCTAGATAAACGTATGATTGCACCACATCACAATTAGCAATTTTTGTAGTTTCAGGAGAATTGTTATACATGCGGTTGACAATCATCATTTTTGTTTTATTCCGGTTTATCTTCAGTCCGAACTCGAGGCTAACGCATTCCATCTTGTTGAGAAGCTCTTCCATGGGTACTGCTGGCGAACAAAGTGGTATCGTCTGCATATCGCAGGTTGGAGATCTTCCAGCCACTGATCGAGATGCCATCTGTCCAATCTTCAAGTGTGATCCTCATTATGAGTTCTGTGTACACATTGAACAGTAGTGGAGAAATAATACATCCCTGTCGGACTCCAGCGCTGGGGTGAAAGTGGTTGGACTGAACCTCATCTGCGCGTACTGAGCCTGTGCCATCCTCATACAGTCTTCGCAGGAGGTGTATCAGGTGTTTTGGAACACCCATCGCCCTCAGCGTTTCCCAGAGTTTTGGCCACTTGACAGAGTCGAATGCCTTCGAGAAATCCACAAAGCATATGTAGGCGGGCTTGTTGAATTCTCTGGCTTTCTCTATAATTTGTAAAAGGCTGTAATATACAGTCATCAAAAAATTAAAACAGTCTCTCACTCATTAAGAGGGAGAGAAACATGTATTATTAACGCAAACTACAAGTTTTATTAGTTGATATTTTATATTATCGTTATGGAATTTATAATTTTAAACACATTTGTTCAAAAAAAACATTTACGGAGGATGTACATTGTTCGAAAGTTAAGGGCCATAACAAAAGAGCATGCGGTAAACATTTTACAGAACAAACGCAAAGTTCAAAAAAAGTTAATTTTGCTCAGACTTTTATTATTTATTGTGACTTCGCACGGTATAATAACTTCATCAAGTTATAAAAAGCATGTATTTCTATCGCTATTCCCCTTACTTCTAGATTGCCTGTTCAAGATATGCCCCATGAATCGGTATTCTGCTCAGAAGCAGTTCTGGAACACCGCCAAGCAGTCCGCAAACTCCAACACGGACACCGGACTGCTGAAGAGGTTGCACGTGAGTTACCTATATAAACTGTTTTTTTTATGTTTCAAGGGTGGCATACAAGCATATGACCCGTCTGATGGTAAGCGGTAACCATAGCCTATAGACGCTTGCGATTAGGGTTACCATCCGTCTGGATATGTCCGGACTTTTTGCCTTTTGTCCGGACTTTGTACGGCTTTTTATTTGTCCGGTTTTTTTTATTAGATGGAGTATGAGTAAAACTACTTATTAAGTTATATCAAATAAGTCAAATTAATGAGAACTTAATAAAGATAATTTAAAACAAAATAAAATTATCTTTAAAAATCAACAACGAGACTCCCCTCGCGATGCGAGCGTCTGCTACCACGCGTATAATGTCACTGTAAGTAAGTGGGTGATGTTTGCATTTTGTGACTAAAATGTCCGGACTTTTATCGAAATGTCCTCTTTGTCAGGACTTTTCAAATTTTAAAATAGTAACCCTACTTGCGATACCAAACATATCACTCGCACCGATGCCTACCCTGACCTTATTCCCTACCTCGTGGAGACCTGTACCCTTAGTACGAGTTTGAGCTCACGAAAACTACCATAATTTTCGTAATTGTAAATTATGTTTCTATGTCCATTTTGGTGAAGAGTAACCAAATATACTTAAAATTTAAGAAGACGCAAATGATTTAATGATAGAAAAGCAACTGTTCATTTGTATTGAAACGATAACAATAAAATCATTACCCTTAGTACGAGTGCGAGCTCACGAAAACTATCATAGTTTTCGTAATTGTAAAACTCGTACTAAGGGTACTGTAAGGTTAGACGGTCACTTCCCCAGATGGGTGCTCCAATTCGAGCAGGAAATCCGCTATGCCCTACCTTTCTTAAATAATTGGTTTATCATATTTTATTTAGTTACTTAACCTCTAAATACCGGGACATTTGAAAATTAATGGTACTTGACAAAATAAATAATAATAAATGAGTGACGTACCATCAACTTAAAAATTACATTTTACATCTTTAACATAAATCATAGTAGACAACACAGCTTGTTGTGATTGATAGTCTACTATCATTACACCTTTGAAATCTATAACGTGGTTCGTGTCTGTCTGACAACATAGGGCAACACGCATAGGGTTACCATATCTCAGGATTTGTCCTGAGATTTAAGGACTCTTCTCAGGATTGCGGCTGGATTTTGCAAATCTCATGAAATCTCAGGATTTTCTGTAATAATAGCACAATTAAAATCAGTGCTTTATTATCCAAGTAGGTACTTATTCAGTTTTATCATACTTAATATGTGAAGATACACTTTTAAGTAAGGTTTTTCTTCAATTATGGATTCATATAATGCCCCACATGTTAAGCTCTTCAAATTATATTGATTTAAAAGTATAAGCAGAGTATAAACGATAATATTACGACATTTTTAAATTGTTAAGTAATGTAAAAAAAATCATAAACTGTAAAAAATCTCAGGATTTTTCAATGGAAATCAAGCCTTTTCTCCGGACGTTTGATTTTATTATCTATAAACACCCTAAACACGCAGGGCCGACGAGGCCTGGAAGGGAGTAGGCATACCGCGCTTCTCCTCTGTCGAGTTTGGCATATAAATTGGGCATACAAACGATACATGTGTGCAGGATTTAGCGATGTATTGTGTCTTTATTTATGTGTGAGTGTCGAAGTTAAAGTTTTGTTTTATACGCGCGTATGTTAAACTACGTTTGTATGCATACAGCTCCCCCGCAAAAAAAAAGACAGAATTATTCGGATAGTATTATGCCGCTATGACGATATGGTAATAAAGAAAAAATACGCGCGCAATACTTTTTCTAACTGCACCTGATAGACGAAGAAAAATAAGCTAGTCATCGTCCCTATTTTCATCAATTAACGTCAATTCGTCCATCGATCACATGCGTGACGCCCAGATCAGAACAAATCAGTTACGCATGTGAACAATGAACGAATTAATATTTCGTTTGCGCTGAATTTAAATACAATTTTGAAAGATGGTTCAACGCTCCCACCTGGGCAAGTATCCCGGTTTTCCCTACTAAAAGCTAAAAGGATAAAGAGATGTTGCTCCTTATCAGAAACAGTTAGATCAATAATACGCGTGCCATCGGGAATACGAAATTGATGTGATCATAAATAAAATTACGGTAATAAATTTGAGACGTTTTAAAGATGCCGTCCCACTAAAAGCAGTCTACATTTTGTATTTTACTAAAAGAGCGTCTAGGGTAGCCACTAGCCAGTTTTTCTAAAATAAATGGAGTGTGATGTATTTTATAATTATACAGGCATAGAAAGTTTTTTTACAGAATTATACACATTAATTATCAATCTAGACAGAGGGGCTAGATTAGGGCTATAACAACGAATCCTAACTAATATTATAAATGCAAAATTGAGTTTGTTTGTTACTCAATCACGCAAAAACAGCTGAACACATTTGGATGAAAATTGGCACACATATAATTTATTACCTGGGTTGAGACATAGTATACTTTTTATACCGAAAACGTTTTAGGATCCTGAGGGATTCTCAAAAAACTAAAGCTAACGAGGACGAAGTTGCGGGCAGCCGCTCGTAATGAAAATAAGATAGTCATATTAAATCGTTAGGGTATCGTGGATTTTTCGGTGTTTTCGTTTGACCTTAACAAAATATATATTTTAAATATAAATTCTTATATGATATCTTTATTCTTAGTATGGAACTTTTATTGTGCGAGTCCGATACTCACTTCAACACGATGTCCCCTCAGGTTCCAGTGGTCTAGAGGCTCCAGACGGAGAGGAGACTCCCCCCGTGGGGAGACGCCATCCGCCTGGATACCTCTAGAGGCACTCGCCAATTCTCGGCTCGAGGTCCCCTTAGGATCTCGCCGTCTCCAAACCCGGTGACGCTGTAAAGGTCATCTGCGACCAACAGCATACACACTCAAAAACAAAAAAAAACTTCAACACGTTTTTAATCAAAGTGTAGATATTACCAGAAATAGATCATCAAAACCATTTTGTTTACCATAGAGACTATAAATTTAACTTTTTATTTATTTTTTAACTACAGTCTTTTTCCTTTTTAATAAAGGAAAAAGACGAAAAGAATTAATATTTTTTCTAAACATAGATAACAACACAAGATCGCTGACATTTACCACCAAGTATGTTACCACAAAAGTTGTTAGTTTTTTTTTAATTTAAAGTTTAGTTTGTTTGTCAACACTTTATGCCGAAATAAATATTTTTAAATAAGCTTCACAAATCAGAGTACAATATTAATATTTTAGAGTACCTTTCATTGGCAACCCTACGAATAGCGTCCTTGAGGTAAAATGGTGAAAATGGATCCATTCAATATGATAGCCCAATTCCGTTTCGGTGTGCGGTGTTTCGTACCTTTCGTCGACCGATAAAAATGGCCAATATCGATCTCGGTATTCGTATACATAATTGTTTATTTTCCGCGATTCCCTATTGAATCATATCGTAAGGTAAACAAATATATTTTTATCGCTTGACGAATGTATCGAGTAGTACGAGGAACGAGGGCCTATTCTGAACGTACGAAATTCCAAAGTTGGGTAATGACATTCGGATGATTAATACAACGATATTAAATACCCTAGCTAGATACACCACGTATCCCAATCAAGAAGTGCTTAAACACCACTCAAGCACTTATTGGTTCACAGTCACGCGCGGACCGTTGAAAAGTCAAGATGCCGTAGAGCTCCGTGAAAATTTTCGAAAGAAATACTTATAGTACGTAAAGTTTTTCGACAGGTATCTAATTAATGTTTGTTAATTTAACGCATTTGAAGAAAATATTGTTCTAATACTTTCTATAAACTGATTTAATACAAAAAATGTGATATTTAAATGCATGGTTGGTAATATAGCAGTCTCTTTTCCTCGTGGTCCGTAACTGCTATTTTACTAACAGCACATTCCGAATTGCGCATAGAACCAAAAAAATAAGGTCTATATTCTTCCGCATATAGCAATCAGTGGTAAAATACGAGCTTGCATTTCGGACTGTCATAACTCTTTGACGTATGCGTTTTAATTAAGAATTTATAGTGTGCTTTAAAGGTGATTTTCAATGTTTGAATAATGCCTTATAATGTTTAGACTACGCTATCATCTTACGGAGCTCCATGGATCGTCTAAAGTACCTTTAGGACAGGTTTCGGCCACGATTTTGTTCGTGTTGGTGTATCTAGGGTATTTAATATCGTTGTTTTAATAGCTTTCGCCCGCGGCTTTTGGCTTCAGGTATAGTTATTATTTTAAGAATTCCACAGGAAATAACACTTCTTCAGGGTATTTTATTTTCAAATCCTTTCAGTCGTTTTTGCGTTATCTTGTTGAGTGCCTAACAAACACGTAAACATACCAACATTCAGATGTACTGTTAGTAATATCGGTGGCATTCTATTCTAGTACATAACGTGCCTAATTGTTATAGTCGCTTACAATTGGTATGGCTATATCAACGCCTACAAATGCTTGCATCAAAATCACAAGTCATTTATTCAGACTAGGCTCGCAAAACTACGGCGGGAGACCTTGTACTGAGAAGAAACTCAGCAAGGGCTGCTTTTTTCTCCCTGTATAGATATATACAGAGTCGTCAAATTTAAAAATGTCTTCAGAGATACTTTTGAAGTCACCTTCCATTATCATCATCATTAAGAATATAGATATATAGTTACAATAAATTTTATACTTACCTTTATATTTATATATAAAGAAAGCGGCATCATATAGGTACCATATCACTATTATGACAAATTACTAATGCCCACCAAATAACAAATTAGAAGAAACACTATGTCCATGCATTACGATCATTTAGTAATCAACTTTATAATAACCCTTAAGAGTATTCTTGATCTGAGATTTAAATTTGGTCAGTGGAACCTCAATCAGATCTCGGGGAACTTTATTAAACAATGCAATACTACAACCCAGAAATGAACCTCTTGACTTTTGGAATCTGT